GAGGGGTTTGGGGCTCCCCCCGAGGGGTTTGGGGGTGTCCCGAGGGGATTAGGGGCTCCCCTGAGGGATCTGGGGGTGTCCCGAGGGGTTTGAGGGTGTCCCGAGGGGCTTGGGGGCACCCCTGAGGGGATTTGGGGGTGTTCTCAGGGGGATTGGGGGTGTCCCGAGGGCATTGGGGGTGTCCCAAGGGGTTTGGGGACATTCCTGAGGGCTTTGGGGGCACCCCTGAGGGGTTTGGGGGTGTCCCGAGGGGTTTGGGGCCCCCCAGGGGTTTTGGGCCCCCCAGGGTTTGGGGCCCCCCCAGGGTTTTGGGGCCCCCCAGGGTTTGGGGAGCACTCACGGTCGGGTCCATCTTGCTGATGGTTTCCTGCAGCATCTGAACGTCCTTGACATCGAAACATTTCTGCAGCTCCTGCGGGCGGGGTCAGCGTGCTGGGGGACGGGGGACGGGGGGATTGAACACCCAAACCCACAAAACCCAAACCCCCACAGCACCCAAAAACCCAGGATTTACCCCAAAACCCTCTCAGAGCAGGGAAACACAGGACCCCCAAAACACCCTGACCCCACAACACCCAAACCCCCAAAACACCCAAACCCTCAGGATTTACCCCCAAACCCTCTCAGAGCAGGGAAACACCTGCAGGACCCCCCAGAAGACCCCAAACCGGGGGGGTTCCACCCCAAACTCACGGCGGGCAGGGACTTGTAGACGTCGACGGGGTCAAGGCAACCCAAAACACCCAAAAACTCAGGATTTACCCCCAAACCCTCTCAGAGCAGGAAAACACCTGCAGGACCCCCAAAACACCCTGAACCCAAAACACCCAAACCCTCAGGATTTACCCCAAACCCTCTGAGAGCAGGGAAACGCCTGCAGGACCCCCAAAACACCCTGAACCCACAACACCCAAAACCCCACAGCACCCAAACCCTGAGGATTTACCCCAAAACCCTCTCAGAGCAGGAAAACGCCTGCAGGACCCCCCAAAAGCCCCCAAACCGGGGGTTCCACCCCAAACTCACGGCGGGCAGGGACTCGTAGACGTCGACGGGGTCGAGCCCGCCGGGCCCCAGGCGCTTCTGGCGCTCCTCCTCCTCGTACTCGCGCAGCGCCTTCTCCAGCCGCGCCCGCGCCCGGCCCCGCACGCGCTCCTTGAACGCCTCCAGCTCCTCCGTGAAGCCCTCCAGGTACTGCTGGTCTGCGGTCTGGGGGTGGAGCAGGGGGCACCCCCAAATTCGGGCCAAACTGACCTCAAATTCGGGCCAAACCCACCCAAAATCCAGCCCGAATCCGGCCTGAATTCACCCCGAATCCAGCCTGAATACATCCTGAATTCACCCCAAATCCAGCCCAAATTCACCCTGAATTCACCCAAATCCACCCTGAATTCACCCAAATTCACCCCGAATCCACCCAAATTCACCTCGAATCCACCCAAATTCACCCTGAATCCACCTTGAATTCACCCCAAATCCACCCCGAATCCACCCAAATTCATGCCAAATCGACCCCAAATCCAACCCAAATTCACCTTGAATTCACCCCAAATCCAGCCCAAATTCACCCTGAATCCAAATTCACCCCAAATCTAGGCTAAATCCAGCCCAAATCGACCCCAAATCCAGCCCAAATTCACCCTAAATCAACCCCAAACCCCCCTCAAATCAACCCCAAACCCCCCCAAATCCAGGCCAAATCTATCCCAAATCCACCCCGAATCCAGCCCCAATTTACCCAGAAAATGCACCCTAAACTCACCCCAAATCCAGCCAAAATCTAGTCCAAATTCACCCCAAATCTACCTCAAATTCATCCCTAATGCACCCCAAATCTACCTTAAACCCCCAATTCCACCTCGAACCCCCAATTCCACCCCCTGAGCCCCCCTTTTCCACCCCCTCCCCTGCTCAAACCTCACGAAAGGGAAATCCACCCAAATTCATGCCAAATCGACCCCAAATCCAACCCAAATTCACCTTGAATTCACCCCAAATCCAGCCCAAATTCACCCTGAATCCAAATTCACCCCAAATCTAGGCTAAATCCAGCCCAAATCGACCCCAAATCCAGCCCAAATTCACCCTAAATCAACCCCAAACCCCCCTCAAATCAACCCCAAACCCCCCCAAATCCAGGCCAAATCTATCCCAAATCCACCCCGAATCCAGCCCAAATTTACCCAGAAAATGCACCCTAAACTCACCCCAAATCCAGCCAAAATCTAGCCCAAATTCACCCCAAATCTACCACAAATTCATCCCTAATCCACCCCAAATCTACCTTAAGCCCCCAATTCCACCTCGAACCCCCAAATCCACCCCCTGAGCCCCCCTTTTCCACCCCCTCCCCTGCTCAAACCTCACGAAAGGGAAAAAATTTTGAGGCTGAACCCGTGGGAATTGGGGAGCAGCGGGCCCCAGGGAGGGATTTTGGGGGCCCAGAGGGGATTTTTACCTTAATTTTGGTGAAAAACTGCCGGAAGCAAGCCCGGGGATCCACCTTGAGGCTCTTGGCCAGCTCCAGGATGAACTGCATGACGATGGTCTGGTGGGCCACCTGCTCCATCAGCGCGTGTTTCTGGGGGAAAAGGGGTCAAAATCCCAAAATTTCCCAAAATCCCCCCGCCACCAAACCCCTGCTGGGTGGGGAAAGAGGAGACTGGGGCCAGGGAATCCCTGCAGGGCTTTAGGGTGAGACTGGCTGGGGTTTTAGGGTCTTCAGAAGCTTTTTGATCCCAAATTAATCCCAAATTCTCTGATTTTGGGGGTTCCTTGTCCCAGGAACGCCCTGGAGCTGCAGGAGAGGAGCCTGGATTCCAAAAAAAGGGGTGGGTGCTTTTAAAGGAAGACTTTAAGGATCTGTTCCCATCTCTCCTGCTTTAAAATTCCCAAAATCTCTCATTTTTTTGGCAGGAAAAAACAGGATGAAATCCAGAGAGGTGAGAAGCAGGCAGCTCCAGCCCGGAAAGGGGGGGCTTACCCCAATTCCAGCCCCCTCCTCACCTCCTCCACCTCCAGGTCGATGCACCAGATGACCAGGTAGTTGGCTGTCTCCTCGCACACCAGGTGAGGGTTGTCTGACAGGTACTTCTGGCTGTCATCCCAGCGCCTCAGCATCCCTGCAGCAGGGAATGGGGGGGTCCCTGTGCTCAGGGGGGGACCCTGAGCCCCCGGGGACAGAGCCTGAACCCCCCAGGAACCCTGAACCCCCCAGGAACAAACCCTGAACCCCCAGGGACTGACCCTGAACCCCCAGGGACAGAGCCTGAACCCCCAGGAACCCTGAACCCCTTCAGAACAAACCCTGAGCCCCCAGGGACAGAGCCTGAACCCCTTCAGAACAAACTCTGAACCTCCCAGGAACCCTGAACCCCCTGAGAACAAACCCTGAACCCCCCAGAACAGACCCTGAACCCCCAAGGAACAGAGCGAGAGTCCCCCAGGGACTGACCCTGAGCCCCCGGGGACAGAGCCTGAACCCCCTCAGGACAGACCCTGAACCCCCAGGGACAGAGCCTGAACCCCCGGGGACAGAGCCTGAACTCCCAGGAACCCTGAGCCTCCAGGGACAAACCCTGAGCCCCCGGGGACAGAGCCTGAACCCCCCAGGGACCCTGAACCCCCCAGGAACCCTGAGCCCCCGGGGACAGAGCCTGAACCCCCAGGGACAGAGCCTGAACCCCCCAGGAACCCTAAGCCTCCAGGGACAGAGCCTGAACCCCCCAGGAACAAACCCTGAACCCCTTCAGAACAGACCCTGAACCCCTTCAGAACAAACCCTGAGCCCCCAGGAACCCTGAACCTCCTGAGAACAAACCCTGAACCCCCCAGAACAGACCCTGAAGCCCCAAGGAACAAACTGTGAACCCCCCAGGGACAGAGCCTGAACCCCCCCGGAACAAACCCTGAGCCCCCCAGGGACAAACCATGAACCCCTCAGAAACAGACCCTGAACCCCCCAGGAACAGGCTGGGCAGGAGGGCGAGCCCCCCACTCTGAAATTTAACTAAACCCCCCCTAAACTCTGCTGCTGCAGGGGAAAAAAAAAAAGTGAAAACCACAGAAAATCCTTGATTTTCCAGCAAAGTGAGAGGATTCCGAGCTGCCCCCAGCACAGGGGGGGCTCCTGGGCTCGGAGAACCCCAAAAAGCTGCTCCCAGCTCAGGGGGGGGACTCCCAGGAACCCCAAAAAGCTGCTCCCAGCACGGGGGGGGGCTCCCAGGCTCAGAGAACCCCAAAAAGCTGCCCCCAGCACGGGGGGGGCTCCCAGGCTCAGAGAACCCCAAAAAGCTGCCCCCTGAAGCCCCCAGCCCCTCACCAAAGTGTTTGATCTGCTTCTCGTATCTCTCCACGAAGCTTTTGTGCTTCTTCTCCTTCTGCTCCTCCGTCTCCTCCTTCTCCTCGGGCTTCACGTTGAAAACACTCTGGGGGGAGCACAGCTCCAAAGCCCACCTTGCTGAAGCCGTCCTTGCTGAGCGTGTCCACGTTCCAGGGCATGTTCTTCTCCTTCTTCCTCAGCTCCTCCAGCCTGCTCTCCCAGCTCTTCTCCTCGCTCCTCAGCTGCTGGGCCTCGGCCTGCAGCCTCTGCAGCTCGCCCTGCCCGCCCTGGGGCTCGGCCAGCTGCAGCTCCCTCAGCCTCTGCTGGCACTCGGCCAGCCGGCGCCGGCACTCGCGGCAGCCCTTCTCCAGCTCCTCCTTCTCCTTCTGGAACTGCTCCATGCGCTCCACGCGCGCCTGCGCGGCCGGGGGGGCTTGTTGAGCACGGGGGGGGTAAAGGGGGTCTGTGCAG